CGGACATGATATCCTATTTACAAACACTATTAGAACAAATCCCTCTATGCATTAAGAGAATGTAACTATATACCTATCCTAACCATTTTGAATACACAGATACAAAATGGACATTCATTTATATATCCCCTTTTTTGTTTAGTTCCGTCATTTGAATATTATAGATGTGTTAACTCAGCAAAATACTCTAAAATTAGAGTCCAGTAGTTCATAATAGTATTGAATCTTCTGCTTGACTGGCAGTGTCAGAAATTGTTGACCTGAGTCCCCTACAGATCAACATAACACCATGGCTGTACTTTTTTTTTTTTTTTCGGAACCGGGGATTGAACTCAGGCCATTGTGCTTGCCAGGGAAGCGCTTATTCCACTGAGCCATCTCCCTGGTGGCTTTACTTCTTATACTTTGTTTTTATACTTTTCTGCTGGATGGTTAAGACCAAGATGAAGCAAGACCTATGCAACAAGAGTTGTATCTTTTGGATCTGATAAGGTCAGTGAAATGCCCTCAGGATTTTTCCTGAGATCCTGTACCTCAGATTGTAGATCCTTTGTCAGTGTCAGCCATGTGGATGAGTCACGGCCATTGCTTGGCCAATGTGCTCCCCCTGAAAGCCTGAGAGAATGTTTTCTCTGCATGTGACTCTCCTTAGCCACACTCTACATCATCAGCCACTTTCCTCTTTGGCCCCATAATCATCTTCTGACCTATGTTGCTCTTTATAGTCAAAATGAAAGCATACAACACATCATTATATAAGATTACCATTAGGCTACATGTACTGTATAATATGTAAGAAGTCTATAAAACATAAATGAATTTTTTGTTCAGACTTGGGTCCCATTGCCAAGATGTCTATTATATATGTGCAAATAATCCCAAATCTGAAACACTTCTACCCCCAATATTTTAGTAAGGAATATTTGATCTGCATGAATTTTTTTTTTTTTTTTTTTTTACTTTTCCACCTAATTCTATCTGCTGCAGCTTAAATTTTTTCCTTGTACTTACTTAAAAGAAATAGTTTTAGTTTCATAGTAAATATGCAGCAAATCTAAAGTTCTGAATACGATGGAAATTCAGAGGTTCAGTATTAATGAAAACTGGTGTTTGGGAGGCTAAGGTATGAGAATTGCTGCTAGTTTCAGGCCAGTCTACACTCAGGACTCTCTCAAAAAAAACCCAAAATAAAATAAAAGCTGAAAACTTTTTTTGTCATGTTTCATTCAGGATAGTATCTTTGTAGAACAAATTTGGAAACAACTGATTTTTAGTGGATCAGATTAGAATGAACACTAAATAGTATGGTTCTGCTCAAGATCTTTATTACATTTATTTATTGTGTGTGTGTGGCCAGCTCAGCCCACCAGGGGGCGGGTCTGGCTGGCATGTGGTGCTGGGGATCGAACCGCGGTCCCTGTGCTTTGCCAAGCTTGTTTCAAGTAGGTGCTTTAGACCACTGAGCCATCTCTCCAACCCCTTGCTCAAGATCTTGAAAGTTAAAGTTTAGATTCAAAGACTAGAAAATAGACCCATTGAAAAGTTGTATATAACATTTTGTTGAGAGTAATAATATAAGATGATTATAGTGGGGAGGGCCATCTGTCAGTGAATTTGTGAAACAATTTTTTGTAACCGCATTCTTTTATGGCATACTGGATTTTTTGGTTTTGTTTGGGATAAGGTCTCCATATGTAGTTTAGGCTGGCCTTGAGCTCACTCTGTAGTCCAGGCTGGCCTCAAAGTTCATGTCACTCCTCCTACCTCAGCTTCCTGAGTGCTGGGATCACACACATGTATCACCACATTCAGCTTGCCATTGGGGTTTAAGGTATTATAATTGGAGTCAGGCCATTTAGCACCAGGTTCTGATTCAACCACTTCTTATTTATGTAACCTTAATAAAATACTCAAGGATCAATTTATCCTCCCCCTTTTTTTTTTTTTAAAGAAAATAGCTCTAATACCCATTTCAAGCCTGACACAATGATACAGGCCTGTGATCCCAGCTACTCAGGAGGCTAAGGCATGAGGATCAGAAGTTTTCAGATTACTCTGAGCATTTCAGTGAGACCTTGTCTTTTTTTTTTTTTTTTTTTCTATAAGCAGAATGTATTTATTGAGGAAAAGAAGGCTCCTGTCCGAGAGAGGGACAGGAGGGGGGCCTGAGTGGGTTGTACCCCAAGACCTTGTCTTAAGAATAAGAGATGTTAAAAACAGAACAAAAAAAGAACAGAGATGTGGCTCAGTGGTATACCACCAGTAGGTTTGATCTCCAGTACTGGAAATTTAAACACACACAAGTTTCATCATACTTTTTAAAAATTATTTTTTTCTATTTTAGGAAAGGGTCTACAGGGTGTTCAGGGTCTCACTACTAGATCGGACTCCTAGTGATCCGCCTGTTTACAGCCTCCTAAGAGCTGGGATTACAGGCCTGTGCCACCACACCCAGTCTCAGCACACCCTGGGGGCGGGGCCAGCATGGCAGGCCTGGGGATTGAACCATGGCCTCTGTGCCTGCTTGCAGACCCTTTAATCCGCTGAACTACTTGGCCGGCCCTTTACTTTTTTTAAATGTAAAATTGTTTTCTAATGGAACTCTTGTACGCACTCTGCAAGCACTCTTTTACCAGACTACTCCCCAGCCCCATTACCCATTATGTTGTTAAATGTGGAAGTACATATATCACATATGAAAAATTGTTTATAACACATATGCATGATGTTTAGAATAATAAGTGTATATGTATGGCTCCAGTTGATTTATTTTCTCTCTCTTTTTCTTTTTTTTTTTTTTTTTTTTTTTTTTGAAACAGACTCTTGCTTTGTAGTCCAGACTGGCCTTAAACTCTATGTAGCCCAGGCTGGCCTGAACCTGTGGCAATCCTCTTACCTTAGCCTCCCAAGTGTTGGGATTATAGGCTTGCACCACCATGCATGGCTGCTTCTGTGAGTCTGTCTCCAAAAGCCAAACTAAATAAGTAAATAAACAGACAAACGGTTTTAACTATTGAGTTTTAAATTAATTACATTTTTGCTGAGCATGGTAGTATATGCCTGTAATCCCAGTACTCGGGAAGGTGAGATAGTAGAGTCACCTTGAGTTCAAGGCTAGTCTGGGATATATAGTGAGTTCAAGGGCAGCTCTGAACTACATCGTAGGACCCTGTCTCCAGAAGAAAAAAAAGTGAAATTGATTATATTTTTATTTTTGAATTTTTATTTATTTATTTTTTTTTGTGGAACCAGGAATTGAACTCAGGCCCTTGCGCTTGCCAGGCAAGTGCTTATTCTACTGAGCCATCCCCCTGGTGCCTGCAATTTCTATATGGTTGTATTTTTTCAAATTTGCTTGGACTTTTTCTGTTTCTTATACCTATATTAGTTTCCTTTTATATTTCCTTAAACATTTAATCATGCTTTGTGTTCAATAATGCACTTATATAAAGCCTATGAGCATATGGAAACAAATGTGACTATTAACTCAATATTTACAAAAACTGATCAGCCTCACAGTGCCAGTTCATGCTCTGGTTCACGAAGTTAAGCATGTGCCTGGAGGACAACCACAGCTTCCATCTCAGCTTATCGAGTTATTCAATGGCTCTTTCTACCTATTGCCTTTGACCTTGGAACATCTTTAAAACTTTTTTTAAAATGTATTTAGTACAGGGTCTAGGGTCTTACCATGTAGACCAGACTCATAGTGATTTCTCCTGTTTTCAGCCTCCAAAGCGCTGGGATTACAGGTGCCTGCCACCATGCCCAGTCTCAGTCTCCCTCTCAGCACCACAGGGCTCACAGGGGATTGAACCCTAGCCACTGCACTCTGCCTAAGCAGGCGCTTTAGTCCACTGAGCTATCTGGCTGTCCTGACCTTGGAATATCTTGAAAATAATCTTTCCATACATTTTAAAAGTTGTGTTGTATTGTGGCAGCATTTCATGACCCACATTGTAAAACTTCTATTATTTTTCAGAAATCCAAAGCTTGTGGTGACTGAAAAGACCATCCGACTTGCTTACCGCCATGCTAAGCAAAATACAAAAAGCACACCGTGCTTCTTGCTTGGTTCTCTCACAGTGGATGATGGTAATATACTTTTTTTAATGGTAAAATACTTTTAGAACTTACTTGTGTGACAAGACTAGAGCTTGTATTGATTAAGCCAGCTTTTATGTGTGCTTTGTAGTAATTTTCTTTGTTATATACCAGGGATATGATGATGTGTGAAATTGTTAAAGTTAATTTTTAATATACTACTGTTGTGAAAAATGTATATTGCTATAATGTAGCATTGGTTTGTGTTTTTCATTTACATGGTATATAATTCTTGTTATTTCTGTTCATCAGATGAAGAAGGTGTAACATTGACCATAGATCGCTTTGATCCTGGTCGAGAAATACCTGGATGCTTAGAAAGAACTCCTACTGCCTCTCTCCCAGGGGACTTTTTAATTCCCTGCAAAGTTCATATTCAAGGAGTTTGTTCAAGAGAAATGACAATTGACAATGTGGATGACTTCAATTCAACTTTTAAAGTGAGGTTCGCTTTAATTGTTATTCGTAATTCAAGAATCATGTTAAGTGTAGTATGCAGTACTTCAGTGAATCCATATTTGGGACCTATTTATAATAATTTATCATTGAATTATAATGGACTGAAATCTAATTAAATGTGGCTTCTGAGGCAAAGGAAGGTGATATGGGTAGCATTCCAGGAAAGGAACAGTGTGACTAAAATGGGAAACTTCAAGGTGTGCAGTAAAGTTCAAAATATGCTCTGTGAAACCATGTGTAGTTTTGCTGGATTTATGGGGAGCCACACGGGAGTGTTAATTTGGTCCTAGTTCGGAGAATTTGTCTTACAGGAGGCTAAGGAAATTGGACTTTGTCATGTGGGGCATGCACTCATAAAAAAGTTTCTGAAGAGAGAACATACTGTCAGAGCAGGAATAGTTGATTTGATGGAGCTGGCTGATTGAAGTCAGATCAGGCCATCACAGTAATCAGCTGTGTAGAGGGACGTGCTACCCACTAGTAGAGTGGTGGCAGTAAAACTAGAAAAGATACAGTGAGTGTGAGCAAATGCAGGGAAAACCACCTTGAGATTTTAGGTAACAAAAGGGAATGATCTTCAAATTCTCTGAAGCTGAGTCAGAATTGAATTATATCCACATATACCCATGAAATAAGTATTTGTTGGGGTATCACTCCTAGTTTAAAGTATCTCTGAGTCATGTAAGTTAGCAAATAGCTAATGGAGCTCAGAATAGAAGTTATATTTGCTTCAATGTAATTATTCACTATCTTTTAATCACATAATAGAGAATTCAAATGTTAAAATCAAAATTAATTTAATTTTGGGGCCAGGGAGATGGCTCAGTGGAGTAAGTGCTTCCCTGGCAAGCCAAGGGCCCGAGTTCAATCCCTGGTTCCACCAAAAAAAAAAAAAAAAAATTTAATTTAATTTTGTTAATGCAATGTATTGTAAGTGTATATGTGCTAGTATAAAATATACTTTGAAACAATAGACACATTTGAGTTTTAAAATAATTGTATAATTTTGATTCCTCAGGCTCTACAGCACCATGTATGTAGCAAAGATTCCTTGGATTGTGGTAAACTGCTTTCTGTACGAGTGCATATCACTTCCAGGGAGAGTTTGGACAGAGTGGATTTTGACTTCTACTGGGAAGCAGTAACTCTAGCAAATAACTTCAAGTGTGCACCTGTGAAACCCATCCCCATTATTCCAACAGCTCTGGCAAGAAACTTGAGTAGTCATTTGAATATTTCTCAAGTTCAAGGTACCTATAAGTATGGGTAAGTTAAAGATAAACAATATTAGTATAAAATTTAAAGAATGGTTTGCATTAGTATTTTTTAGACTATGCAGTAATATAAATTAAGAACTACAAATGGCAAATAAATATATGAAAAATGTTAAACATCATTGTTCATTTGAGATGAAGATTAAAACAACCCTGAGATTCTATCTCACCCCAGAAAGACTGGCTATCATCAAAAAAATCAGCTGAAAACAAATTTGGAGGGGCTGTGGAGAAAAAGGAACCCTTTTCTACTGTTGGTAGGAATATAGACTGGCGCAACCACTGTGGAAATCAGTGTAGAGATTCCTTAAACAACTAGCATTAAAGGTCACATTTAAATCAGCTATTTTCCTTCTGAGTATTTTCCCAGAAGAATTAAAAGCAATGTACCACAGTGATCTATGTGCACCCATGTTTATAGCAGCATAATTTGTAGTAGCTCAATCTTGGAATCAACCCAGATGCCCATCAACCAAGGAATGAATAAAAAAGATGTGGTTATTTTTATAATGTAATGCAGTACTACTCAGTCATAAAGAACAAACTGAAGACTTTTATAGGATGAAACTTGAGGCTATATTCACAAATGAAATAAATCAGGCCCATATGTTTAAATATCATATTGTCTTACTAGTGTGGGAGAAGTATAAGGTCCAAAATATATAAAAGATCTTGTGATTTGGCAAGAAACTGTTGAAAAGACAAACTGTGATGGGGGAAAGGAAAAAGGAAAAAAATATATGAATACATAAGATAGTTGATAGTTATACAGCTAGTTCTCTTAGTTCATTAAAAAGAAAGTTTTGTGCTAATATTGTATGGACAAGATATACCTATATGTTCTATTCTGTATAACCACTACAAAGATGCAATGTGTCAACTGTTGTAACTCTCCTACTAACCTGTTTTGAAGCCTGAGTTCATTGCTTTATTTTATTGTTATGTTTATCTTTTTTCTCTTTAAAATTAAAAGAAATATATTGTGCAGTCAGTTTACCTATCATAGATCTGATGGTTTAGTCAGTGACCAGGGAAGATCAATGAAGTTGTTACTTTCCCCTCCTTTTGATCCTGGGAACTGAGTGAGAGCTTTGTACACACTAAGCACATACTGTACCACTTGCTACAAACCCAACCTATTAGTTTTGACATTATAGAGTTTCCTTTTGAAGAGTTATACCAAAACCTTACAAAAATGTTAATTTAAAAAAAATTGTATTAAAATTGGTTGTGGAGTTGGGGATGTGGTTCTGTGGTAACACTTGCTTAGCAAAATGAGGCCTTGGGGTCAATCTTTAGCACTAAAAAAAGAAATGGCCTATACTTTATAACTTGAAAATATAAGGAGAAATTGCTTCTGTATTGTACTTAACCATACTATGCCTAGGTTTTGGGCCATTTTCTTTTTTTAACAAAATTATGAATCTAAAAGCCCAGAGAATTTATTTATGATGTATAGTTTTATTGATGTATATTTATGACATCCAGATAGAGAAAGGGAATGATTAAATATTTGCCATACTCTTGCCAAATTGTCACCTACTTGAAGGTAGTTTCCTTACGTAGCTGGAGCATAATTCTCTACAGCCTCTTATCCCTTAGTTTCTTATGAATTGTAAGATGCCTGTTTTCTAATCCTCAGTAGAGCTACTTCCTGCATCCTCATCTACTTTTTTTGTTTTTGTTTTTGTTTTTGTTTATTTTTTGGCAGAACCAGGGATTGAACTCAGGCCCTTGCCAGGGAAGCATTTATTCTACTGAGCCATCTCCCCAGCCCCCTCATCTAGTTTTGTATTGTCTCCTGAAATAGGTTAGACAGTATGATAACCCTGTGCCTAAAAGAGTTTGGCCAGAGGTAGCTGTAAGCACTATACTCCTGACTTCCTTTCCTGCTGATTCCACTCTGGTTCCTATTAGGTCTCTAGCATGAACAGTGTTTGCCAAAGTGTGCTAAACTCCAGTTCTTTGCCTCTAAAACTGCTACTGTAAAAGAGAATGAGAAAGAGAAAAGGCATTGACTGGAAAGTTTGAATCCCAGATTCTGACCACAGTAGTCTCACTGGTTGGAATGGCAAAAAATATTATTCTGTTCCAAACTCCTATAATTTGAATTTTACAAAGTTTGAATTTAATATTTAATTCTTTTGGAATAATAAAATGCTTTTCAAAAAGAACATGAGATTTTTAGTTAAAATTAACAAAATTTTTGTACCCATGCCTATTTATTTATGCAGCATGATTTTGCATTTCTTTCAATTATTTATGTGATCCTTTAGCTTTCTTTTAGTAAATGGGGTGTTTAGTGTTCTGTCCAATTATCTATTCTCCTTGCTGCTTCCTGTGTACATTTATCTATTAAATTTGTGGTATTTGTTCTTTTTCCCAACAACGTTCGCTTAGCTACTCTAATATTTATTAGAATCCATTATAAAATTGGTACTTGTATTAGGCACTAGAAGGAAATGATTTTTTTTTTTTTTTTTTTTTTGGAGGAACCGGGGACTGAACTCAGGCCCTTGTGCTTGCCAGGGAAGTGCTTATTCCACTGAGCCATCTCCCTGGCCCCGAAATGATTGTTAAACAAGGTTACATATGTAGTTATCAAAACATAATGCACTATAATAGAAGTTGTATGCAGTGCTAGGGAAGCAGGAAGGTGTGTCCAAATAACATGGGAAAATCAAGAAAAGCCTAAACCAATTCATTTAAAGTATAGAAATGAGGGCCAGCCAAATAGCTCAGCAGATTAAAGCGCTGGCAAGCAGGCACATGGGCCAGGGGCTCAATTCCAGACCTGCTATGCCGGCCCCGCCCCTGGGGTGCGTTGAGACACAATTGAGACTGGGTGTGGTGGCACGTGCCTGTAATCCCAGCTCTTGGGAGGCTGTAAACAGGTTTATCACTAGAGTCCAATCTAGTAGTGAGACTCTGAACACCCTGTAGACTCTTCCCTAAAATACAATAAAATAAAGTATAGAAATGAGAAATTTATTTGGTGGACAAGGCTGGCTGGCCTATCTCTCTAAGATAGGCTCCCACTGGGTAGTCTAGGCTGATCTGCAGCTCAGTCCTCCTACCTTAGGCTCCTACGTGCTGGGATTACAGGCTTGCACCACCACCCTTGGCTAGAGGGAGAACTTTTAAGACAGATGTGTCATTGTTGATACATACATCTTAAGGTAACTCAGGCTTAATCTTTGTTTCATGCACTGATAAATTTATCATTAATATTGTAGGGTTATTACAGCAGTCAGGTATCAGTAGGTCCCATCTTAGATTTAATATCATTAATAGCATTGCTCTTATTTCTGTAGTTTACAGTTGTAACAATACAATTAATACTTTTACTGTGGGTTTTTGTCTTCCCCTTTTTGGGAAAGGTGGCTGATGCATGTAAGGCAAGTGCCACTGAGCTGTCCCCTCACCTCCAAGTTTTCATATTCTTATAACTTACTGTCAGTTGTAACTATAACAAGGTATAAGTACTGGACAATGTCCTTATAGGGAAAGTCTTTGCATTATTTAATGATGTTTTTAAATAGTGATTAGAGAAATGAGATACTGGGATGGTTAATTATACCTTCCCTAACTCAACCTCCTTCAGTGAGAAGTCACATTTATTGTAATCTTGTCAAGTCACCTGGATACTTGTATACTTCACTAACAGGAAATTCACTTTTCCCAGTGTAAGTTAATTTGTTATGAAATTGTCTGCTTTATAATGCTTTTGACAAAAGTAAATTATAAGTAAAATTGAGGAATAAAAATATTTTTTAAAGTGTGTGCTCTTAGTGGTGTATGTTAATAAGTAGAAGTTTTAAGATACTAAATCTCTTGAATCTCTTCTTACCAGAGTCTTCCTTTTACTGAATCAAATGCTTTGAACTGTTTTCTTTGTTTAGCTATGTGGAAGAGAGACAGTGTTCATTTGTTTAGTGTCAGTGTTCATCTTATCCCTTAAAATATGCCTCATAATTCAGATTGTTATGTTAAAATACATACTTTCAATTATTTTTACCTAAATGTCTTCTGTTTAGATATCTCACCATGGATGAGACACGCAAATTGTTACTTTTGCTGGAATCTGATCCCAAGGTTTGTTCTCTACCGTTAGTGGGAATGTGAGTATTGTATTATTTATGAAAATCTTTCAACCAGATACATATCCAAGTACATATGAAAGCACATGAATCAGCTGTACCATGAATATATATGATCTTATAAGGCCACAAAACCAGTTTTGTTAATTAATGGTAGAATCAACTAAAAAGCTTTTCCTCAGTCATAGGAAGAATTCCAGCACATACAACAGATAAAATTGAATTCTGGTTAAAGTTGAAGTCTCAGAACCCTATTTCTTCTACTTTCTCTTACTTCTGCTGTCCTTAAAGACTCAGGACATAAGAGATCTTGTACTGTAACATCATGTAACTCGGTAGTGTCCCAAATTTTCTGATCAAGGAGATTATGGGGCCAAAGAGGAAAGTGATCGATGATGTAGAGGGTGCCTAAGGAGAGTCACATGGAGAGAAAACATTCTCTCAGGCTTTCACGGGGAGCACACTGGCCAAGCAATGACCGTGACTCATCCACATGGCTGACACTGACAAAGGATCTACAATCTGAAGTACAGGAAGTCAGGATAAATCCTGAGGGGATTTGACTGACCTTATCAGATCCAAAAGCTACAACTCTTGCTGCATAGGTCTTGCTTTGGTCCAGCAGAAAAGTATAAAAACGAAATATAAGACGTAAAGCCATGGTGTTATGTTGAACTGTAGGGGACTCAGGTCAACAATTTCTGACACTGCCAGTCAGGTGGAAGACCCAGTACTATTATGAACTACTGGACTCTTTTAGAATATTTTGCTGAGTTAACACACCTATAATATTCAAATGACAGAACTAAACAAAAAAGGGGATATATAAATGAATGTCCTTTTTTAAAAAAATTTATTTGTTTATTTGTGTGTGTGTGTGTGTGTGTG